ACTAATATAGTGCTCAAAGGAAATGCTCATTGGAGCATTTCAGATTTCAGATTTTTGGTTAGGGATGCTTAGCTGGTAAATATAATGCAAATATTCCAAAATCCAAAAAAATGTGAAAATCAAAACACTTCTGTTCCTAAGCATTTTGGATAAGGGATACTCAACCTGTACTAGGAAATGAAACTTCTATAAATGGGCCTTTAGTAATGTGGTGGTAAAATGTGTGGGGGAAGCATTCTGTAGTCTATGATTAGGTTTCAATCTTTTGGTGAATCTATACCCTTGTACTTTTAACTTCACCAGTATTTTTCATTTCTTTCCCCCTTAGGTGGGAAAGAATGGTTAGAGGGGGCTGGAGTTGGATATATCCCTTTCCTTATGTGGAAGGCTGAAGTTGGCTGGGTATTGGGTATTTCCCTTCCCCCAGGAAGGTTAGGTTCTCACAAAACTTCAGCAGGTTAGGCTCTGGTAAAATGGTTTCTCCTGAGGTCAGACCTTGTTAAGAGGAACAAAATACTATGGTGTATTTCAAAGGGTTACTTTTCTCCTTTCATTACTGGAAACATGAGGTGATTTTCCTCCTATATTCTTCATGAGCATCTGGTAGAGCTCTTGTAGGTAAAATTTACAGAAGCGTGGGGTCTCCCTTTAAACTAAGTTCCCCTCGAATTTTTAACTTTTCAGACTTGTCCATACTGAGCCTCCAGCAGTATGTCAAATACTGGCAAATACTAGCCAATTTGTTCTGTTTTTCCTATTCCAGCCCTGGCTTCTGTTAAGGTTTCTGCTAGTAGGTTTCTCTTCCATTAAGTTGTGGTTCTCTCAATCTCCCTGTCTGTCTCTCCCATTTTAGGGGCAGTGGTTTGCTCTATGTCTTCATTTCTGTTGAGTCTAAGAAGAGTTGTTGAATTTTCAGTTTCTTTAGCTTTTTGTTTTTGGGGACAGAATGGTGACTTCTAAACTTCTTACATGCCAGACTGGAAATCAGAAACCTATTATTTTTTTTCCTTAAACAGGCATTGCTATTACTGGATGATCGTTTTTATCTTGTTTACTCTCAAATTTATTCTTTATTATGGTGGATCTGTGGAAAGCCCAAGATGTTTCCCAAATCCCTCTAACTTGGGTGGTCTAGAATAGACCTTACTTTAGGGTATGGTTCTTAATGCCAAGGTACTGCCTTTTTTGGTGTCTAAGCTGGATACCAGGGCTCTTCCTGAGATCTCTCCATTTTGGCAGGGTTGGAGCTCCAATGTCTCTAGCACTCTCTTCCTGGACAGCAAATTCTGTATTTAAAAGAGTTGTATGCTGTTTCTATTGTTAGAGTTGTATGCTATTTCTGTAATTTTTAGATAGGGGACTAATTGTGCTAAATTCAGGGCATCCTAATAGGGATGCTCTTATAGGGCTTGGTTGATACTCTCTGAATGTTTTTCTGTGAGCCGTAGACAAAAGGTTACAATATTGAGAGATTTGAAGAATATCAGAATAATTGGGAAATATATCATTTATAATGATTGACTTTACAGTGCTTGGATGGTCTGGAACTTAGGACATTTATGGTGATTAGTGCAGATGAGCACTGATTCAGATGCTGACTTGCCTATTATTATGTCCATTGATGTTGTCTAAAATAGAATATTAGTTTCTGTAGTGACATTAAGTGACTGTTGCAGTCAAAAGTGGTAAGTCATAATAACTTGTCCTCTGAGGCACTGTTCCCCATTAAATAGCTGTACCTCACATGCAGAGATTCTTGTCTTTGTATGGTTACCCATGTGGCTCCTGCCTCCAGGAAAATTTTTTTCTTATAATTGTCACCAAAGGCACTTGTTAATGTCAAAACACTATGTGATCGGCTTAAATTTCTTTCCTAGTCTACAGCAGTATGATTTACATATTTTCACTGGATGTTCTACCAACTTCTCTGTGCACAGTGATTTCACCAAAACCTCAGTCTCTCCTTCTATATATTATAGATTCTTTTATTTCTTCATGTTCCTAGCTGGTGCACTAAACGTTGAGGTCTCAAGGGGCCTGCTCTTCACTGCTCAGGATCTGATCAAATTGAGAAATAAGACAAATAGTAATGACGGAGAAAACATACCAACTTTATGTCTCAGAAATCTAAGGTGGAGAATGTTGCTCACTAATAGAGCGAAATGGGTTTGTTAACTTGGCTCTGGAGTTTGGCTAACTGATTTCGTCACTGGCTGGGCCAGACCAGCAGAATGCCTCCAGATAGGGAAGAAGTAAAGATTACTTACTCCCTGTGGGCAGTTTGTTCCCAAGGGGAGGAAGTGTAGTGACAAACTGAACATGTCGAGTTTGTTAAATACAAAATAATCAGTGGAGAGACAAGGAATTAGACTAATTGGACTTCCTGCAGAAGGAGAAAGCATTTTCCCCTATGTTTGTTTTTTTTTTTTAATTTTTTGGGGGGTTTTTAAATCAATTTTGACCATCTATGCTGATTCCTTGGTATGGAAGATAAGGATTTATCTCATGTATACATTCTTCCCTGTCTCTTATCCTTCCAATGTAATTCTGTTGTAATTTTTATTACATAAGTATTCAGTGTTTACATTTTACAATTACGTACCTGCTTTTTTTCTCTATAATATTTTGTTTTTATTGGAATTAATAAGTGTCTTTTTTCCCTTTAGGTACTTAGTTTTTATACTCTTAACACTAATGAAGTCCCAAACATATGCCCAGTTGCACTAATATATCTGTATGTTGTTACTTAATCAAATTTACCATCTTAAAACAGATTGGGCTGGGATAGTCTAGTCTGCACTTCCTGTATAGAAGTGCAGTTGCATTACTGGTCATTTTAGTATCTTACTTTCACCATTATCCTTAAGGTTTTTCTCATGTTGCTGTGGGTTAGATCTCCTATTTCCCGGATGTCATGTTTTTTTTCCTCTTGGGGTATTCTCATGTTTTGTAGAGCACACATTCCAGTAACTTCCTGATAAAGAGTATATGGGAAGTAAATCTTTGGAGAAATTGTATGTCTGAAAATATCTCTAATTCTACCTTCACACTTTATTCACAGCCTGAATCTTGATACAAAATTCTAGTTTAGAAATAATTTCCTTCGAAATTTGATAGCATTGTACTCTTTGCTTTCTTTTAGAGTTGTAGGGAGTTTGATGAATTTTTTATTCTAATCTTTTGTATGAAATCTTTCTCCGCGAAAGTCTGTAGAATCTTCTTTAAACCCACAGTTCCAAAATTTTACAGTGATTTGCATTGCCATATGTCTATTTTTGTTATTTGTGCTGGATATGTGGATAAGCCCTTTCATTCTGGAAGTTCATATCCTTTCATCCTGGAAAATTTAATAGAACTATTTCTTTGAATTCCTCCATTTTCACTATAGAAACTTTGAGATCATCCCCACATTTTTAGCATTGTCCTTATGTTCTTAGCTATATGTGGCATATCCTAGTACAAAAACCCTATGTTTTCCTCTCCCCAGGAAACTCCAGTTTTTTGCTATTGTGAGAGAGGTGAGGCTGTGCAGTAATGGGAAGTGGTAATCTGAGGGTTTAACTACTTTTTAAGCAGACTTTCAAGAATCCTGGTATTTTTAGCCCCAACTTCACTCTCACTTCCAGACATATGTGAGGCTATTGAGACTTCTGTAGTATACTTGATTCTTTGCTTTTCTCACTATTGGCTTTGGATTCAGCTTTCTTAGGTCCAAATCAGGTGCTATTTGTTCTAGAAATATATGTGCCTCTTTTAATGATCTAAATAAGATCTGGTCACTAATGTAATGAGCATGACGAATACTGATGATGAAGAATAATATTTCTAGGTATCTGCAACAACAGTGATATTATATGAAATTATCTTTGATTTCTGTTGTTTACAAAGTCACAGGTACTGCTAAACTGCTATGGTGTTTTGCTTATATTAAGTGAAACAAAGCCTAAAGTTCAGTTAGAAGATAACATGAAAATGAATATATATTCTTTTTTCTTATCTGCTTTCCTGGAACCTCTGAATTCTATCTGTAGACACAGTTTAGAACCCCTAAATTAACTGGAACATAGTGGTATAAGAGGCCACAATCATGATTTCCTATATTGGTCCATTTTAAAGGGGACTCTTTAATATGCATAACCCTGGTCAACCTTTACATTCATTTAGCAAATGTTTATTATCAACTACGTGTAAGACCCTGGGCACCAGAGATACATTATTTAACAAAACAGACAAAAACCTCTCTCTTCATAGAGTTTACATCTCTGGAGGGATATATAATTGGTTATAGTGTAGGCTAGATTAGAATAACATGGTTTGTGTATATCACCACCCCTGGAAAAATAATTGAACTCACATATGTTTTTGATATCAT